TTATCTGTGTGGTTGATCCTATTATGGATCCTACTATGACCCAGCCTTTGAGGATTTTCGTCAAACACCTCTTTGGTGTCCTGAGCATTCTAGTAAAGCCCACATTGGAGAAGAAGTAGTTAGGCGAGATCTTGCCGGAGGTGGCAATGCACTATATGGAAGGGGAGAATTGACTGGCGATGGCAATTGATTGGATCTGGGCTCTGCTGAGAAGGACGAAGCCGAGGAAGGGAGCTTGACTTTCCTCGATTATGGTTAATTTCTGGGCTTCGATGAGAAGGATGAAGACGAGGAAGACGAGGAAGACGATCTGGGCTCCAATCATTAAAAATATTTATTTTTGGGATTTTTGTTTTTGGTCGATCTGTGTGTGGATTTTACAAGGATTCTAAAAGTTGGATTTTTCCATAAATTTTTGTAATTCTTTGGAACTCTGCTTAAATTCATATGTATATTGCTGAAACTGTATTCAAGAAATGCTGTATACCAAACGGATTATAAATAATACGATTTTAGTCCGATATTGCACTAAACGACGGACTAATTAATCAGTACTATCCGATGGCTATTTATCCTATCCGACTGAAATAGTCAATACAGTCCGAGCTGCCAAAGATGATCTTAGAGTCCATCTAGTAATAAGTACTAACATAACTACGGAATGAAAAAATACAAAAAAATCAATCTCAAATTGTTTGCTGATCTTAAAAACAAAATCCATGCAACTAAACCTAATTAATACACAGCTCGGCTGAGCCAAATATTTCAATTTACTGGACACAAAAGCAAAAAGTCGCAGAATTTTATTAAGATTTATTTTGCTACGTTTTCTCGGCTACCAAACAATTGAACTCAGATGTGCTTCTCACCCAGATTATCAATGAATGCCTATTTTTCAACTAAATAGGAAATTTTTCCACAAAACCGAAAGCTAGGAACTTCGAACAATGAAATTAAAGTTCAATTAAACCAATTTACAATCGATGAGATGGAAAATCAGCTAATTAATGCGATTCGATCCCTTTTTGGACCGATTTCCCAAATGCTTCACGGAAAAAACAGATTAATTCTTGTATCAAAGGATGTTGCAAATAGTCTCATTATTGTAAAGATATCATCTCGGTATGCAATTAAAATTGTCATTATATATTGTCATATTATATAAATCATCTTCATATGTAGTCAATGCTATCGATGACAAACATTTCAAATAATCTTTTAGATGTCGTAAATAAAGCATCTATATGTTGTCAAGGTTGAATATTTTCTTATTGATACAATATACAGAAGTGATTTTCACACATTTTTTAGCCTCTTACACTCTCTTGCTTTAATATGGTTTCTGATATTCAATCCGATAATCATAAATAAAAAGAGATGAGTGAGAAAATAAAAATGGTTGTTATGTTATTTGAGAACAATGTTATAACATTGTTCTAAAAGACGCTAGGCGCTAGTCAGACAGTGGGTTGGAGCTTAGCGCTTAGGCGGCTAGGCGACCTAAGCAAAGTAGGCAGATTTGAAGAAATTTCATTTAAATTAATTAAATGACTACATTATATATACAAATACAGTAATATGGTACAAAATAAATAACAACATATACTTTTATATAATAAATCTTTACAAATAAATAAACACATATTTATAGATATTATATGAGGTGGGAGTTTTAGGTTAATAGTCTGGTGGAAAACTGGTGGGGACTTAAAAGGATAAGAAAGGGATGATAAAAACAAGGGGTGTGCTATCCACACACTCGTTTTTACTTCTCACACACCCTTATTAATTTCTGTTCGTTGATCTTTTTTATTTCATCCGATCCGACGGCCGAAAACTAAAAAGGTGTGAGAGAAGTAAAAAATGGTGTGTGGATATTACACCTTAAAAACAAAAGTTGACAGAGGAAGATGGTGGGCCTTTTAAGTGAGGGAACAAAAATTAAATAATGAAAAAAAAGTCAGCAAAAGAAGGAAGAATAAAACGACGACGTCAAGCATTACAGTAAAGAGCCAACTCATCATCTTCCCCACAATTTTGTGCCCGTCCGTCGACTCTACATCTAAAAATTTCCAAATTCTGGCTCTCCTTCACTTGACCCCTTTGTTACATGCACATACGGACATGCCTACCCGGTTGTTTATACCCTTTGCATGGCGCCCTGCGCAAAAGTGAGCAACAACTACTCTAATTAGTAACTATTTTGATAACTGTTGTTCGGAGAGCAATAATGGTGCCAATGAGAAAATGGTGACAAAAATTAAAAAAATATACGTATTTTAATACATTAGTCATCATTTTTGTTACCATTTTTTTATTGACAACATCATTGTTACCCTAGCAATAGCTACCAAAATAGTCACTAATTAGGGTAGTTGTTTCTCATTTTTATTATGGTGACAAGAAACCTCTTCCTCCATACTAGCGAAAAAGACTCGATAAAAGACTCGATATAAGCAATTTGCATGGATGCATGCATTATGGTGGCATAAACAAATACTACTAGTTCAAAATTGAACCTAGATCCATGGCGGCTTAGTTTTGCTTGGCTTGCAGTAGGCATATTTTATAAATGCGGTATCGTCTCAGGTGGAGAAGACCCACCGTTTAACTCTTTTCTTTTCCATAAAAGTATATCACTAAAAGTCTATGAAATTAAGGATATCATAGTAAAATTCTATCACTTTAAAAACTCAAGAAAAATCCATATAAATCTTAATACACCACACTCCCCTAAGCTTCCACCAATCAAGTTGAAAAATTCAAACTTGGATTCTCTCGTTCAAGATGAAATTTAGAATCTATTTCCAATTGGAACATAAAAATGAGAAGTACAATTAAGTCTCTTCCAAGATTGAGAAAAGATACACTACTAAATTAAAGCGTTAGTTGACGAACGCTTCGATAGTAGTTGAGTTCGTGTTTATTTTAGAAAGTCTTTTGGATATAAACATACATCTATACTCCTCTAATTCCAATTTGATACGGTTTCATACACAAATTATTTCTCAACAATTATATTCAAGAAGAAAGGATAAATTAAAAGGTATGATAATGATAGATTTAGATTATGCATCTGTAATTAGGAACAACTAATCATAATAAATAATATCTGAATGTTCTGTCCTTTATGGCTTTGAGTAGTGTGTAAGCTGTGGAGCTGCTACTTAAAAAATAGAAAATTGTGTGATCAGGATCCGGATTTACTTTGATAGATCTTAGGGATCTTCACGTCTTAGCCGTTTATCATATATCGTGTGATCAATTTTTATCATATATTATTTGTGTTTAATTTTAAATTAAAAAGTTAAATAATTTTTGAATCCACGATATACAATGAATGACTAAGATGTGCAAATCCTAGCATGATGGGATCCAATTCCGTGTGACCAAACTCCAGATAACCAAATTTACATGCGGCAGAAAGAATCTTAATACTCGGCCAAATATGCTAATAAAATACATAGATAATTATATTTACCTTTAGTTTTGTATTTTTTAATTCTGTTTTCTCTTTATTTACCCTAATATTATACTTTCTATTTTATATACACAAAAAATATCTTCAATGATCGCTAGCTCTTCAACGTTTCTGCTCAAACTTTCCTATCGATCTAATAACCAGTGGCGGCCTTGAGGGTAACCGGAGTAAGAGGCCCGACTAGAGCCCCATTTTGGAGGGGTCTTATTTATATTTTTATTTTTTGAACAATCGATATTATCTACATTAAATGGGAGACAGTGGAATAGCCTTACAATGAGCTAGCAATGATGTGGTTCAAATTCGTCTTTGTCAAGAATCGAACCTAAGACATCTCACTTACTAGTGAAGAGGAATACCACTAAACCCGTAGTACTAAGTGACATTTTTTTTTATAAATTAATATTACAAATTTCGTATATGTTCAAGTAAGAAGTTTACATACTTTGGGTCTTTGCTTTATAATTTGCAAGTACTTGCCTCTGCAAAAGAAGTTTTTCAAAATTAAAGATTGATCAAATCTTTATTCAAATATGTCACATGAAATATTGAATGAGTTAGCTATTTTATCAATTAAAAAAGAATTAGTTGGAAAATCAGGTTATGTAAACTTAATTAGTACATTTGCGTTTAAAAATTTGAGACGTGTAATATTTAAGTAATATTTTTATATTCTTCTTTTTTATATTAAATTTAATAATATTTGATGTAGAAATCAACTTTTTAATGTATTTTTTTTAACAAACGATATTGTATTACAAGGAAAGAGAAACACTACTATAGCGTAATACTAATGAATTACAAAAAGTTGAGAGTCAAAGAATTTTAGGGCCTTACTTCAAAGGCTTGCCAAAGACCTCTAAATTCTCAATGTTGGATCTGCCAATAACAAAGATTCTTCCTGCAACTTTCTTTATGTGCCCGTATATTTATTTGAACATTCATCAACAAGTGAGCGTCAAGATTTTAAATTACGCATTATAAGATAAATAAATAATTTTTAAACGGTGAATAGAAAAAAATATTCATGCCAATAATTCCTATAAAATATAAGATTACAGCTTCCAAATACAGCTTTCTTCCCCAAATCAAAAGTTAAAAAAATGGATAAACATCACGCAAAACAAGCATCAAAACAATTAAATTGGAAAAAAACATATAGAAATTTAATAGAATTTTGTATTTCTTGCCCTTAAAATTAGCATGTTTGTTGAGTATAAATGTTAATGGGCTGCTGACGCGTTATTGTCAGTAAATATCCATTTGGATACTGTGGATTGGAGACATAGCAGATAATTGCTCGTCCTTTGGACAGCGACATTAAAATTACCAAACTGCACACGGGCTTCCGTCAAACGTAACATGCGCACAAAATCTATGTTTCCCGAGGAACACACGTGAGGGCACTCTCGGTATTTCACTTTTCTTGGCCTGTTGTTCCCTTGTCGCCAAAGTGACGTCGTTGCTCGCTATCACAGAGAAAAATAGACGAACATTATATTTGCAACCACGTTAATCGGAGCCGTCTTTGTCTCTGCCACAAGAAAAAATCATAAAATAAAAAAGAAGCGAAGAAAAGTACAGAAATTTTTTAAAAAATAAAATAAATCTGTCGATCAGATGTTGATGTTGAAGTTCTTTGATATAAATATTACAAAAATTTGTCTTCTGATTGTTGCTGTTCTTCAATGCGGATGCAAATACGACGAACGAACTGGATTCAGAGAATTAATTTTCGAAAATCGACGGAGATGGTTGCTGTTGCATTGATACTCTGAGATGTTTCTGGCTGCAAAGATGGCGGATTTGTGAATTGGGATCGAGAATTGAAGCGTAGGGCATTGAATTGGGGACGAATCGATTTCTGGGTAGGTGGGTTTTCGCAGTTTTATGTACCCTCTCTGTAGTTTTTCTTGGAGCTTCCGGTTCGTCGGGGATTCTTGAGGGCACGTGGCGGCAATATACGGGTGCCCCTTTTTGGCATTTCACTGGAGGGAAGATCTGAAAACGGTTTCTGTTTCCATTTTACTTGAATCGCAAGGTAAACCTTTAATCTTTTTATCCGAATTTTATAGAAAAATAGACTCTGTTTTTCGATTTTTTTTTTTTTGTATTGTTTGTTAGTAGCAGAGAATTTGTTGGTGTTGTTTTTGGAACGTTTGGGTTTGTGTTTGCGTGTGGGAGCTTATTGGATACGGATGGGTCTGAGTTGGTACATGCAGAGAAGCTTTCTGGGTTTCCTGAATTTTCATGGCAGTTGTTGGGAGGTTGCTGTGGGGTTTTTTTTATTGAGTTTCTGGGTTTTCTGAATCCAGTGTTCATCTTTGTTTTCATTCGATTTCGGAACTTGGGTTAGTTTTGTTTGGTGAATTGAGCTGCGGTTTTGAGGATTTTTTTTTCCCTTTCGTGCCAGGTTGTTGAATCGAAATAGAGAAAGAGGAGTTGCTGATGGGGTGCCTTTAGTGTTTTGTTTTGTTAGTCTTTGTTCTTATGGGGTGAATTTGGCGCGGTTGCAATCAAGAGTATGATTGTGACGAGTTTAGTGTTTCAATTTTAGTATTGGGGGTGAATTGGTCAGGTTTCCCATCTAGAGTTTGGCTTGTTAAGAGTGGTGATTGGCAAATGAGCAGGGTAGCAGAATCGTTTGTCGATGGCTGCGCCCAACAAGATGTTCTCCCATTTCATTTCCATGGTGAAATCATGGATCCCTTGGCGATCAGAACCTGCTAATGTTTCGAGGGATTTTTGGATGCCTGATCGTAGCTGTAGGGTATGCTACGAGTGTGATGCACAGTTTACTGTATTTAACCGTAAACATCATTGTCGACTTTGTGGTCGAGTTTTCTGTGCTAAGTGTACAGAGAACTCAATTCCTGCCCCCTCTGGTGATCCAGGAACAGATCGGGAAGAGTGGGAGAAGATTCGTGTATGCAATTTTTGTTACAAGCAACGGGAACAAGGCGTAGCTATTCCTGATAGCGGAATCCTGATTGCCAACTTGGATCTTAGTTCTTCACTATCAGAAACAAGTTTTGCTAGCTTTAAGTCATGTGGCACTGGTAGCAGTAGTAGCTTCACTAACTCAATGCCACACTCAGCTGGACCATATCAACGACTTCAACTTGGTTCTGGCCTCAGCCCCAGTCAGTCATCTCTAATGGAAACTAACACAGAAAACCAGAGCAAATTCGGACCATGGAGGAACACTGATTTTGGTGCCAATATGTCTCCAAACCAATATGAAGTTGCAACTGCCAGGTTTATATTTCTTCTTTGGCAGGTTTATATTTCTTATTATTTGTGCCCTTAAGATTTATGTTCAAGTTCACTATGATTCCCATTCTGTGCATGGTTTATAAGAAGAGAACAATGAATTATATGTAGTTTTTTTAGCAGCTGCTGAACCGCTTGTTTGTTCTTTGGTATCAGGAGTGATGACGAGGATGTTGAGTCTGGTATTTTTCAGTCAGATTCAAAGAATTATTCTCAAGTCAGTGACTACTTTAGTCACATTGATTTTGATGAGATGAGCAACGATGATGGATCCCATAAGGTGCATCTTGATGGTGAAAATATTGATGCGAAAAATTTAAGTAGCTCCTCGTTACTTCCCAGTTATGACTCGCAGGTTTTGGAGGGAATCCCACAGCTCGAAAAAAAAGAAGATGAACATGATATTGGGGATGAATGTGAGGCATCTTCGTCTATGTATTCTGCAGGGGATGGTGATATACAACCTGTGGATTTTGAGAACAATGGACTTTTATGGCTCCCCCCCGAACCAGAAGATGAAGAAGATGAAAGGGAAACTGTTCTGCTTGATGATGACGATGATGGTGATGCTACAGGAGAGTGGGGCCATTTACGTGCATCAAGCAGTTTTGGAAGTGGGGAATATCGCAATAGGGATCGGTCAGGTGAGGAGCACAAGAAGGCCATGAAGAATGTAGTTGATGGACACTTTAGGGCTTTGGTAGCTCAACTATTGCAGGTTGAGAACCTTCCAATCGGCCAGGAAGGAGAAACAGAAGGTTGGTTGGAGATCATTACATCTCTGTCCTGGGAGGCTGCTACACTATTAAAGCCAGATATGAGCAAAGGTGGAGGGATGGACCCAGGTGGTTATGTAAAAGTAAAATGTATAGCTTCTGGATCTCGCTATGATAGGTAACTGATGCATTATGATTCATTGAATTTTTCATGCATAATTAGTATGTACTTCTACTGCACATTTGTGATTTCATGGCTTGATTTATGTGCATGAATGATTAAGAAAACACAATTGAAACGTATCGAAGACCATATATTAGTACAAATCACTATTGCATAGTTACCCATTTGCAATAACAAAAGAAGAAATTTTTTATAACCATTAGAAGGAGAACTCAAAATCTAAAAGGTAGCAGTGTTACTTCCATATGATTGCAGGATTACTTTTTCTGTTAAGCGAATTTGTTCTGATGAATTATTGCAATGCATATCTGATATGAGTTACTCTGCTAGTGATGTACTTCTATACAGTACCTTCCGCTTCTTATTTATAGACATGTAATATTTCTGTTTTTAGGTTATGCCTACTTCGAATGAGTTTGACTTATTTTTAATCATTTCGGAAGAAAAAGAAAAACCTGCACCGAAGTCACATGTTTGTATTTATTGTAGTTGATTTGTCGGGGCTTATGGCCCCAGTGGTATGAATGTTGCCTTCCATCTGAATAAGAAATTAAAATCTATTGTTGCTGTAAAAGCAATTGTTTGTTTTCTAAGGTTTTGAGTGTTTTTCTTCTAGTATGGTGGTCAAAGGAGTTGTGTGTAAGAAAAATGTGGCTCATCGACGAATGACATCCAAATTAGAGAAACCTCGGTTTATGATACTTGGTGGTGCTCTTGAGTACCAGCGTGTTTCTAACTCCTTGTCAAGTTTTGATACTCTATTGCAGCAGGTTCTGATTGCCTACTCTTCTCTTCTCTTAGTTTTTCACTTGGTAGTTTCTAGAACATTGGAAACTGTTTTTATTTCCTTAATAATAAATTAATCATTCTTATGCATTTATATCCTTATCTAGGAGATGGACCACTTAAAGATGGCAGTAGCAAAGATCGATGCACACCACCCTGATGTCCTTCTGGTAGAGAAATCAGTTTCTCGATATGCCCAAGAATATCTTCTTGCAAAAGACATATCACTTGTTCTGAATATCAAGAGGCCACTTTTAGAGCGCATAGCTCGCTGCACAGGTGCTCAAATAGTCCCTTCAATTGATCATCTCTCATCACAGAAGTTGGGCTACTGCGACTTATTTCATGTGGAGAGGTTCATGGAAGATCTTGGTTCTGCTGGTCAGGGTGGGAAAAAACTGGTGAAGACATTGATGTATTTTGAAGGCTGCCCAAAGCCATTGGGTTGTACTGTAAGTCCTTGGATTATCCCTGCTACACCTGTTTATGAAGATTGCGTAAATTTGACACTGTTGACAGTTTTTTTATCCTTGCGATTCTGAAGTGCTATGAAGTTTTCATTTAGCTATTTTGTCCATGTCATTCCAGATTCTACTTAGAGGTGCTAATGGGGATGAGCTGAAAAAAGTGAAGCATGTGGTTCAGTATGGGATTTTTGCCGCATATCATTTGGCTTTGGAGACATCCTTCCTTGCCGATGAAGGAGCCTCTCTGCCAGAACTCCCATTGAACACTCCAATTACTGTGGCACTTCCAGATAAACCATCAAGCATTGAGAGGTCCATTTCCACGGTGCCTGGTTTTAGTGTTGCTGGCAATGGACAGTCTCGCAATGAACCACGAAGATCCAACAGCGTCCCAGTTTCAGATTTGGACTCAGCTATCAGAAGTATACAACCTCCTTTACTAAGTAGTCGTACCTCTCTACCCACTCCTCCCACTTCAGGTTTCACCATTTCTACATCTGTGTACCCCACTCCATCTGGGAATGCTTCAGATACCACATCTGTGTACTCTACTCCGTCTGGGAATGCTCCAGATACTTATCACAAGAGTCTTTCTTCTTATCATATGTTTGATAATCAAAATGAAATGAGTTCTAAAGAATTTTCAGAGGTGGAAAATTCTGCAACCAAAATTTGCTCTGATATCATGTCTAGTCATCTCGCTGGCAACAATTTGAGGTCTTTAGAGACTATGGGACAGGGTATCTTCTCAGTTGCCCAAAATGATGAAAGTGTAAGTACTGGAAATCAACTAGGTGGTTCAGACAATTCATTTCTGCATGAAGATGGTAAAACTCAAGCTGATGAACCAGGACCTATGAATGAAGAGTTTCCTCCGACACCTTCTGACCATCAGAGCATTTTGGTTTCCTTATCATCCCGGTGCGTGTGGAAGGGGACTGTCTGTGAGAGGTCGCATCTGTTTCGAATCAAATACTATGGAAGTTTCGATAAACCATTAGGACGGTTTTTACGAGACCATTTATTTGATCAGGTGAGCTCTTTTTGACTTTTGCGTTCTCTCTCATTCAACTTATGATACAACTTGAAACTGAAAATGCTGAATCATGTGTCAGAGTTATCAATGCAATTCTTGCGAGATGCCTTCAGAAGCACATGTTCACTGTTATACTCATCGTCAGGGTACTCTCACTATATCTGTTAAGAGGCTGCCAGAAATTCTCTTACCAGGTGAAAAGGAAGGAAGGATCTGGATGTGGCACAGATGCTTGAAGTGTCCGAGGACAAATGGATTTCCTCCGGCTACTCGGAGAATAGTGATGTCTGATGCCGCATGGGGTTTGTCATTTGGGAAATTTTTGGAGCTCAGTTTTTCAAACCATGCGGCTGCAAGCAGAGTGGCGAGCTGCGGCCATTCCTTACATAGAGATTGTCTTCGTTTCTATGGGTATCTTCTCTGTCCCAGAATTTGCATAAGTGTTAGTACAATATAATTGATATGATATTCTTAGCCTCTTGTTGGTTGGGTTGAACCCAACTCTGATGGTTATGCTTAACTCTCTTTTAATTTCAAGTACATGCTGACAAATAACTTCATCGATGCCCTTCAAGTTGTCGAACATAACTAATATGTGGGTGGAATATATAATTGCATAGAAGTCCCAATCTTTCTCTCTCTCAATATGTGTATTCATGCAGATTTGGGAAGATGGTCGCTTGCTTTCGGTATGCATCAATTGATGTTTATTCTGTCTACCTTCCACCCGCCAAAGTGGATTTCAATTATGAGAAGCAGGAATGGATACAAAAAGAAACAGATGAGGTACAATGGTTCCATGTTTGGATATTTTAGGATTGCATGCTTTATGTCGTTGATTTGTTTATCTGGTTATAATAGGTTATTGATCGGGCAGAGCTTCTTTTTTCTGAAGTACTTAATGTTCTTCGTCAAATTGCGGAGAAAAGATCTGGTTCAGGATCGCATAGTAGTGGCATGGTAACACCTGAATCGAGACACCAAATTGTCGAACTGGAAGGAATGTTACAAAGGGAGAAGGTGGAATTTGAGGTGAGCCCTTCAATTATTCATGGGCCACTTTCCAGCTTTAGTTGCAAACTTACATGTTCTAGAATCTGAACTTTACACATGGCTGGAAGATACATGTAGAGTTTTCTTTTTGTCGCTGCACATTCATGTGCATGGACCAGAAACAATACTTAGTCAATCAAATTCCTTTTTATAACCCTTGTGATTCATCCTCAAGCTCCTTTAATGTAGCACGAGTGGCGGAAATATCTTTGATTGTCACAAATTCTTCTTGTCAATTAATTGATAATCTTGTTGGTTTATATATTCATTTACATCAATATGGCCTTGTCTGTGAAGATAATTCTGACCAATCTTCGTACGTGAAGTAAATTCTCTGTTTTGATATTTGGCTTAATATGTTTTCCTTGATGCTTTATTTTTCAGGAATTGCTCCAGAAAACTTTGAACAGAGAAGCTAAAAAGGGCCAGCCTGTTATTGACATTTTGGAGATCAATCGGCTGCGAAGGCAGCTGCTTTTCCAATCTTACATGTGGGACCATCGCTTAGTTTATGCTGCCAGTTTAGAGAATAACAGACACAGCGATGGTTTGAATAGCTCAATTCCAGATGAGGGGAAACCTGCAACTAATAGTGAAGATATTGCTGATAATGTGGCAATAAATCCAGGAAAAAGTTATAATAGTTGTGATTCCTTTCTTGTGGATACAATGCTTAACAAAGGATTTGACCACGGGGAAGACATTGCCAACACTGTCCACTCTGAAATGGTGAATAAAGAGAGAGACAGTGGCCGAAATTCAAAATATGAAAACGAAGATCAGTGTAATCTCTCTGATGGAGTTAGCACCTGTGATCAATCTGATCCTTTGAAACCAAGGGCAGGTATTCGTAAATCCCTCTCTGATGGTCAGTTTCCTGTCATAATGGATTTGTCAGATACCCTTGACACTGCATGGACTGGTGAAAATCAATGTGGATTTGGAACAGCGAAGGACAGTACCCGCACAGTTCCTGTTTTAGGTCTAGCAGATTCAAGTGCCTCTCCCGTGAAGGACGGATTGAACTTAGACCATGCAGAAGACCAGAATGGGCCCAAGCTTGCGCATTCTGCTTCTGGATTATCTACCAAGGGGTCTGAAAATATGGAAGACTCAGTAAGCTGGTTGAAAATGCCCTTTTTAAACTTCTACTTCAATAAGAATTTTTTATCTGCTTCTCAGAAGCTTGATACACTTGGTGAGTATAATCCGGTCTATGTTTCATCCTTTCGGGAGTTGGAACTTAAAGGTGGGGCTAGGCTGCTTCTGCCTGTGGGGGTAAATGATACTGTTGTCCCCGTATATGATGATGAGCCCACGAGTCTTATATCTTATGCCCTTGCCTCACCAGATTATCAATTGCAAATAAGTGACGATGGGGAAAGAACAAGAGACAATGGCGATGTTAGTTTGTCTGACTCTCTCGCTATGCAGTCACACCATCCTGATGATGACACAACATCTGAATCCCATCGAAGCTTTGGGTCTACTGAGGAGAGCCTTTTGCCCACATATGGATCTCGTAGCTCCCTGGGTTTGGATCCGCTTTCATACACAAAAGCTTTGCATGCAAGAGTTTCTTTCGGAGATGATAGCCCACTTGGTCAGGTTAAATACTCAGTGACGTGTTACTATGCAAAACGTTTTGAAGCCTTAAGAAGGATTTGCTGCCCATCTGAGCTTGACTATGTAAGATCTCTTAGTCGTTGTAAAAAGTGGGGAGCCCAAGGTGGAAAGAGCAATGTCTTTTTTGCTAAAAGCTTGGATGACCGGTTTATCATCAAACAAGTCACCAAGACGGAGTTGGAATCTTTCATAAAGTTTGCTCCCAGTTATTTCAAATACCTATCTGAATCAATTGGCACAAAAAGTCCAACATGCCTGGCAAAGATTTTGGGGATCTATCAGGTACTTACTTTTAGATGAACCTCAAAAGCTGTCAACTATTTTAACCAGATTAACCTGACAGCTTGCCGTAAGAACTATTTTTTATTACCGCTGAATGATACCTACTCTTTCTGTGGTTGTATTTGTATTGAAGGTTACATCAAAACATCTTAAAGGAGGGAAAGAGTCGAAGATAGATGTCTTAGTTATGGAGAATCTTTTGTTTGGAAGAAATATTACGCGGCTCTATGATCTCAAAGGATCTTCACGGTCTCGTTATAATCCTGATTCTAGTGGGAGCAACAAAGTACTGCTGGATCAGAACTTGATTGAAGCAATGCCCACATCTCCGATCTTTGTGGGAAACAAGCCAAAGCGTGTGTTGGAGAGAGCTGTCTGGAATGATACTGCTTTTCTTGCTGTAAGTTCTGAAACTCTCTTCTTTGTGAGTATGCTCGCGTGCCAAATTCTGATCGGCTGAACTTTTATTTCCATGTATACTAAAATTAGGTAATCCCTTGTCCAATCTAACATGTTATTATGTATTCTTATGCAGTCAATTGACGTAATGGATTATTCACTACTGGTTGGGGTGGACGAAGAGAATCATGAGTTAGTACTTGGAATTATTGATTTCATGAGGCAGTATACATGGGATAAGCACCTTGAAACTTGGGTTAAAGCTTCGGGCATCCTCGGTGGGCCAAAGAACGCTTCTCCAACTGTAGTTTCCCCAAAGCAGTACAAAAAAAGGTTCCGGAAAGCAATGACAACCTATTTTCTGATGGTTCCAGATCAGTGGTCTCCTCCGTCGATTGTTGCAAGTACATCCCAGTCTGATTTGGGCGAAGACACAGGTGGTAATTCGGTTGAATGACGCTGGGAGTCAATCCACATGTACATGTAAGCATGCCATTCAGGAATTGACCCTGCCACATGAATTGTTACCTCATTTCATTTACTTCCCTTTTTTGATATCTCTATCCCAATTCTTTTGTATAGAAGTATATCGTTTTGCATTTTCTCGTTTTACATGAGAAATTCATGATTATTTTGCTAGAAGATGCAGAAGAAGGCTGTTGAAGCCATGGAAATTTTGGTCGGGTATAGTATTGGATGACCTCCCCATTAAATCCTTGTGTAGGAAGGAATATAATTCTTGATGTATTTAGCATTAAAATATCTATGTTCAGTGAAAGTCCTTTAGATTTTTGTACCTGTATATTAGATTCATGTTCATCTCTCTCTCTCTCTCTCTCTCTCTCTCACCAAACTTTTGATCAAATGCAAGTTGATCAAACTTTTGATCAAAGAAAATTGGTAAGTGGAAATATAATAGGGGAGCTGTCTTATTAATAATCAGGGAGTGGTGGAAGAAAAGGCATATGATATTTGTCCTCATTCTCTAATGTTTATGTTAAATTTTGTTGATAACAAATTGTCGCCCATGATTGAGACTCTTTACTTTTCAACTTTGGTCAGAAAATTATGTAATGTTCACTTATACGAAATGTGAGTTACACATTATACTCCGTAACACAATATTTAAAAAATCAATTAGTAAGAGTAGCTTATCTCATTCTCATTCATTCTTTCAACCTTTTTCGATTCATGATTTTTTCCATTTCAACGAAATAAATGTGTCATTAAAATACAAGAAAACGGAGTGCAAAAAAGAGGATTGGAAATTGGACCTTGTATACGTCCTGGGTTAAATTTTTTTTTTTTTTTTTAAAAAAAAAAAAAGGAGAAAAAAAGAAAAAAAAAAAAAGAATGTGCTTCAAAGACACTGCATTTATGTATGTTATTCAATTTTATGATTGATTGAAGGATATGCGTTTCTTTATATGTTACATACTGTAATTGGGAACCGTTGATATGGTTGGCAAGAGTTGCTTGGAAACACTTGGCATGATCTGGTTAGCGGAAAGTGTTGAAGCCATTGCAGTTTTTTATGTCCTCTTGCAGAAAAACACTGCCTTTGTCGCCACGGCTCAATTCTGTGCCTGTTATGAAATTAATCCACCTCTGTTGAAGATGATCAAAGATCTCTGTGTCTCTGCTGTAATTTGTGCCAAAAAAAAAAATAAATAAATAAAGAGATCAGAATCAGAATCAGATGAATCGAAACTAGCCGGCTAGCGATTGTGACACACTGCTCTTTTTTCTTGTTTTTTGTCCGCGCTTTAAATTGAATACTTCACAAACGTTTTTTTGTAGTCGCAAGTAGAAGTTGGTGCGCAGGAAGCTAAACGAGTAGTGTTAAAATTGCTAGCCGATCAATTTCATATGTCATGATCAAACTTTACTTGTGTTAGAATGTTGATTGGTGATTAAGAATATTACCTGGGTTGCCAAGGTGTTCTTGGATTATGTTGGTGATACCTAGGACCCTCATCAAACCCTTCACAAATTATCTCCCCTCTGTCATCCTTGTAGCATATTATTCCATTGGACCGATCCTCAAAAACCTGCAACAACCAAAAAAAGAACATCAAATATAAACGAGAAATCTTTGTTGACATAAAATGAAAACGTTAACGTAGTTTTATTGAAGAACTAATATCGCATAATCCTCTATTTAATAGATAATAATAATCCCATTTCACTCTATATTTTCATAGAATTCAAAAAAAATAAAAAAAATACTGACCTCTTCTCTCAAGGAGGATCTGATCTGGAGGGTTGAGCTTTTGATCTTCACTGTTAGTTGACTGCTTTTCAGCCTCAGTACTCTGCTGAAAGGCTTTAAAACTGGCCCAGATTTTTGGATGGAGAGAGAATTAGCAGGAGAAAAGCAACATGCTGTTGCTGCAGCCATTGACTTGAAATATATGTTGCAGAAACAAGAAGAAGATGGAGAGGAAGAAGAAAAGAAGATATTGTGGTTACTAGAAATGGAACGATGCTCGAGTTTATTTTATGTTTTGCAGGCTGATTAAGTAAGAGAGATAAAATAAATAATTGAATTATTGAGATGGCTTTTATCCTTGGTCGAAAATTGAGATAGGGTAATGGTCTTGTCATAGTTTGCATTATATTTGTAAATATAGGTGGTGTGGGGCCCCTTTTTCTTATCTTCTACCCTTTGCTGCCGGTGAAACCCTAGTTAGATTGTTTGTTGATGATGCTACTGCCCCTCTTTATTTTCTGTTTGAGTAATTTTGTAATGCATTGGCGTTTGAACAGTCAGAATCCATGAAAAAGTTATACTTTAAAAGAATGCCTTTAGAATTTCTCAAATTATATTATTGGATGGGGAAAGAAGTTGTGTAAAATAATAGGGAGTGATGTTGCATGATCATTCAATTGTGATGTGTACTGTGACTATAATAAGTTATCTTAATTTTTCAACTTTTAATCGGTGCAACTGCTTCTAAATGTCACTTGCTCAAGGATTGGTTCTGCATCGGCAAGATTTTATTTATTTATTCTTAAAAAAGTTTAGGCATCAATCAAAATCAAGGGTTAATAAAATAGGAATTGGATCCCCTCCTGATCAAATGGTGGGGATCCTCATGACCACACAACATGGGCTGTTGGATTTTGATCCAACGGCTACAAACAAAGGTTCCTCTAAAAATTATAATAATTGTAGTCGTTGGATCACCATTTACTCAGGAGGGGATCCAATTCCAATAAAATATAAATCTCTTCTTTTATTATTGTTGTTTATACTGTTGGTTTGAGGCAATGATTTCCAACTAGACTTAGCACCTTCCCATTTGCATTACTACACATAACAGTAGTGGCCTAAAAAGTGTTGAAGAATCCAGACTTCGAATATATTTCCGTGTTGACATAATTAGAATATGTTCCTTACAATTTGGCCTTATTTTTATGTCATGTAGCATATATTTCTCTTTATTTGTAAGTAAAAGATTTTAAGTTTGACTCCTGTAAATGACAAGTTCATAACCCAATTATTATGACTGGCCCATTATGTGGCTTACTCAAATTCTTCACCTATTAAGAGCATCAGTGGCGGAGCCACTTTAAAACTAGGGTAGACTCGGGCCTATAAATTTGTTGTATTGGTTAGTCCAATTAACTCCAATCCAACAAATACAAAGCCTTTTAACTTTTTACATCAAATATTCAAAACTATAGTTACATAATAATATTTGTTGATCATATTCTCCGTTTCTTGCATATATACCATTTTTTATCTTTGCTTGTAGACTATTATTTTGGTTTCCCGTTAGTATATCATCTATGAAATCAAGAAGACAAAAAGACTTCCTGTGTCCAAATTAGCACAAAAAGACCCTCCAAATTATCTCATGCCTAATGGTTTTTACAAAAATGCTCCCTTGGTCACCATGAGAAAAGAAATACATGGTCACTCACTCACCTTTGAATTTGATATCAAAAATGAAGAATAAATGGATATGTTTTTAATGTTTTATTTTCAACTATTGATATAGTTGACCATGTATAATGAAGAATATATGCATAGTCACTCACCTTTGAATTTGATACCAATGTGACCAAAAGAAAGAGACAATTTAGATATATATTATTTCCATTTTAGTCTAAAGTGTGCCCCCCTTAACATAAATTTATGGCTCTGTCATTGAAGAGCATCTCCAACAATTTTGTTAGATGCTTGCTAGTCTAGTGGGTAAACAATGTCAAAAAATTATCTTATCTACTCACTTTAACTTTTCCTCTCGTACAACACTCTCTATTTTGGGTAATGGTAGGGAGACTAAAAGTATAGACTAAATTTTGTAAACTAAATGATATGGAAGTTGATGATTGGATTATTACTAAGTGTTGATCAACATGTTTATTTATTATTTGTGACACATCATTTAGTCTGCAAATTTAACCTACAAAGTTAATCTTCCTAGCATTATCTTTTTTAATATTTAGCTTTTGAGCATTGCTCTGTAAACTTAAAGAGGAACTGTTCATTTTGCTATTATATAGACTCTTTCATAGATTTTGTTGGAGATAAGATTTTTTTAGAGTGATTCCTTAAAAGGAAGTTTTAATGGTTTTAAAGCTTCTCATGGAGATGTCCTTTGAGTTTTTTACAATATATAACATCAAATGTCAACATTACATGGCCCTAATTTTGTGTGTGGTTTAAGAACTAGGATACAGAGAGTCAAATGTTAGGCAACTTTAAGTTAGAAGTATTTCTTTTATAAGGTGAGATTTATCACCTCTCAAATTTTAAAGAACCAAACAACTACTCTTTAGGCGCTGCAGTTTGCTTTCGTGCAATTTTTGTTCAATCTTTATTCATTTTTTTATTTTTTATTTTTTATTTTTTTCCTCCACTTTCTAGTTATCTTCTGAGTTCTGCCCTCATTACCATTCAATTATTGAAAGATTTTAGCCCCATGGAAGTCAGCCTTAATCCATGTATTTTAAATTATCCCATTCAAAATCAATGCAAATAGTTCTCGTTTCGTATACGTGATTGGATTAAGAAGAATAAATAATTTAGACGATTGGATTAGAAAGAATAAATAATTTATGACCAACTTAGGGTTGGTTTGAGGTTGCTTAAATTTTTTTTTTAAAGCTGCTTATGAAAAACGTTGAGGCCTTAATTGTGGTTAGTAAATAAAAAAAAAGTATTTTGTTTTTCTTTCAAAATCATGGGTCCAAAGCAGCAAAAAGTAGAAGCATCTCTACACATACCTCTCAAAAAAACGTTATTTTTTTAATTGGAGGCAAGTGAACAATATCAATTAATGAAACTTTTATTTTTGTCCAAAAAAAAACATTCATTTTGACAATCATACCCCCATCTTTTCTTGTGCTAAAAGGCCTCTTAACACTACAATTTACCCAAACACTTATCTGCTTTTTTTCACATATATTTATTTTTACAATACAACGGAAACAGTTAAAAAAAAAACACAATAATCCCAAACTAGCCCCTTGAGGTAGGACAATGATTACTTGAGATGGTAGTATTGGAATAAATAAGTTTCAACATGTTTGATCATCTTCTAATCCCCTCAAAAAAATAATAATAATAATAATAATAAAATTCTCATATATCTTCAATATGCCTTAAATTTAGGGAGATTATATTCACACACCCCAAATTACTTCTCTCACACCTTTTTAATTTTTTAATATTTTTCTATCAAGTGTTAGTGGTGTGTAGAAAATATTAAAAAATTAAAAAGGTGTGGGAGAAGTAATTTGAGGTGTGTGAATATAATTTCTCTAAATTTATAGGACTATCCCTAACAGTTTAATCTTTTATAATAAACATGCCCTAGATTATAGGCGGCTTTCTTGTCATCAATCTTTTATATACCTTGTTTGATATATGTAAAGACAAAAACTCTAAGAGCAACTCCACCGTTGCAAAGGCCCCCTAAGGCAAGTCACTATTGAATAGTCTCCAATGAACAGTAACTACATTTTGCATCTCCACCCCTACACTGAATAGCCATGACAATAGGTAATAAAATATTTGTATTTTTTATTTTGTAAAATAATACAAAATAATTACTTGTGGGATTTCTTTTACTTTGACCGGTTCCCTCACCTAGCTCTCTGTCTCATTTCCCTTATACTTTCTCTCTCTCTCTCTCTCTCTCTACCGATGCAACCCTTCCCCCTCATTTCTGAAACTTATCTCTCTTTAATCTCTCGACCCTTTCATTTTCTTTCTACAGCTCTGAGAACTCTCATCATTCCTCTTCTTCGAAACCGAAGCAAATCAAACTAACAAACTCTGAAATCGCAATCCCTTGGATGAGAGGAACTCGAATGTATCCTTGCATGCATCATCAAAGCACCATTTGGGTGATCCACCATTGAAGCCGAGAGCTTCAAGCTTCCATTGCTCAAACCCATGTGAGGTTATTGCCCTACTTCAATTGCTTGAGTTATTCTATGGTTTTGATGTGTTTTGAGTTGAAACCTTTGGGTTTAGTCTCTGCCATTTGTCTGTGGGTGTATCATCAACCACGGCGATGAACTCCGGCGAGAGCCGTTGAGTTCAAAGCCTGCTGGGTTTTACATTTTTTTTAAAATTTTTTTATTAATTTTTTACTTTTTTTTATTAATATTTTATATTTTTATTAATTTTATATTGTGGCTGACGTCGCCCTGACGTCACTTGGCCCTCGGGCTCTCAGGCCACCAATTCTCGCCGGACCTCTCGTTTAGGCCCCTTCCTGCGCAATCGCCCCCATAGGCTAGACATGATTACTGGGGCTATTGCCCCTTGTTCTAGAGCCGGTCCATCGGGCTACTCCACACGGTGGAGTTGCTCTAACTATATAACAATTCAGGACATATATTACCTTTTTTGTTAGGTGAATATATTTTTCATGTGAATAATGGACCACTAACAATAAATTCCCAAAAAAATTCATCCTCTCTAGACTTTGCTGTCATTATTTATCCCAAACTATTCTATGACGTGGGTCCTCTTAATGCAAAAGTCCATGATAATTGACGTTGTCTTTCCCATCAGGTATCTCAACTAAGGGTGGGCACGGGCGGGGCCAGGCCCAATTTTGAAGGAACCGGACCTTACTCGTTTTAAACAGTAACGGGGCGGGACGGGCCGGGTAGAGGGATTTTGAGTTTAGGAACCGGACCTAACCCGGCCCGTTTGAAACGGGCCGATTCGGGACGGGTCCATGGGTCCAACTCTTTTTTTTTTTTTTTTGTAATTTATATACTGCACAGCAACAGAGACATGTTGTAGAAAATTACAAGATCTGTTTCACAAGCTTCTACACACATGAGCTATTTTTTAAAATTGAGGATGCGCTGCACATCAATTCTTATATATTCTTATACACACACACACACACATATTAATAAACCGGATGTGGGAACTCGGCAAGTATCATTATCAGTCACCAATAAGGCACTGAACTCAAAACTATATAAAGCCTTATGTAATGGACTGTACAAATTCACTGAATTTCTAAATCCTCAGCAACTTCATCTCTTCAACTAGTGAAAGAGTACAACCATACTGTTGTTTGGC